ACTACTACTACTACTACTACTACTACTACTACTACTACTACTACTACTACTACTACTACACCACTACCACTACCACTACGACTACTACTACTACTACAACTACCACTATTACTACAACTACCACTACCACTACCACTACGACTACGACTACGACTCCTACTACTACTACTACTACTACTACTACTACTACTACTACTACTACTAGTACTAGTACTACTACTAGTAACAAGAAGCTATAGCAGCTACTAGTAACAAGGGCATTACTCCAAAGCCCAGTCCTGCGGACATTGGCAGGACAGCATTCTGCGGACTTCGACGATTGGGGCCTAGAAGAGAAGCAGATTAGTTTTCAGAACGAGGAGCAACCACTTTGAGTTGCTGGTGAGGAGTAACGCCTCAAATGCTTTCAACAGGGGTCTAGCTTGTGGTCCGAGCCACCAACGCGTACTCCAGTGGCATTGAGCTGACTGAATGTTATAGGACTACTTCACTACGTCTCCTGCTATCTCAGGCAGGCTGTTCAGCACCTGCATGGTGCGGAGTTGCCTTCTGCTCAAGTTAATGCTTTGGCATGGGCGTTGCCTCCCAGCGTTGTGGTTGTTGGGTTCGGCTGCCAGGTTAGGATACGCAACTGGGTCGGTTATATAATAGTTAATCAAGTATAAGCATGTACTGGATTTGGCCACAGATGGTTGTGGAAGCAACTTAGTGTTCACAGGAGGTGTTATCTCAACCCATTGGAGATTGAGTAACCGTGTGTTCAATTTGACTGCAGTTGCGGCACCTATACTATACGTGACCTGCCATCCAAAGCCCACAGCACTGGCTACTTGCCTCAGGCGCTTCTCCTTCGCCATTGGCAACCCCCAAGGTTGGAGACGGTGGACATAATCCACCTGGATAGATTTTTGTTGCAATTTTTGTTGTGCATTCAGCCATTCAATCATCGGAGAATTCCTGACCAGTTTCAATATACAGGGTAGCTTAATCGAAGGTCAAAGCAAATTCCGGTAGAAGTTGCATTTCTACATTGAAATTATACTTGCGGAGCTTAGTTCAGAAGTATCATGCATTCATCACAAAAAGTTTCATTATCCAAGTAGTTGTAGGCTCGCCATCAGGATGGCATGGATCCCTCAAATGCGCCAAGGGAAATCCCAATAAGCACATTTCCTGCCGTGCAGCCGTGTTCGGTGAACCTCAGCAGTCACAGGCCCCTGAAAGCAGCTCTGCTCAGAGCTCAGATGTAATTAGCTTGGAATTCCTTGCAATTGATCAGCTGATCAGCAGTCAAGTAGTTTAGAGATACATGTGATACTCAAAGTCAAGTAGGCATTCTGAAATTAATGTTACCTTGCACATGCTTGAGATAGCTGCTAGCTGTTGTTGCTTTTCCGTCGTGTGCAGACCTGCGTAAGGGAGAAAGTGATGAAGCAGCAACCTTCGGTTCGTCATGGGCACAACGCCCACAACTGGAGGAGCTTCGAGCCATCTAGCACCTTGAAAGGATAGCTGCATTGGAATGGAACGGATCAGATGGATTGAGCAGGTCTAAGTATGAGCTGAGTGGCACGTGGGTAGGCAGCACCCACGCATAGCAAGTCGGATCACTCACTTAGTCAACAAGAGTTGGCATGGACAGTGTCCAGGCAATTTCACCTTGATCAATCCACAAAATCCCTAGCGAAGTTCGACCTAATTGGCAGCCAAGTGGCGAATGAATTCGGGGAGGAGCCACCTTTGCCGACCTTTGCACAGCGGAGTCCTGGGCTTTCCCCTGTGGTGCTCGTCGAGGAGGCGAGGCTGGGCGGGCTTCGTTCGGATGAGTTGATGGCCTTTATGGCCCAAAGTGAACGAAGCACGGACCCACTTTGTTGGTCGCAAAGCTTCAATTAATTACTCCCCCAGGAATCTAATCTATTGCAAATCTCGAGCCCACTATTATCTTGAGCCCCTATTGGGTTTGTGCTTCCACATTGTTGAGAAGCTTGAGAATTTCACAACCAACTTCCCGTTTTCACTCTTTTGATGAGGTGTAGCTTGTTTTTACAAACCATCACAAGCTTGCACTGCCATGCCTCACCTCCCAAAATGCAAGAACTTTCTACCAAAAGTAAAAAAGCAACATGTGACTGAGCAAAGAGTAACTTTTAACTATTCCAGTAAGTTTTGACCTTTAGACTGTTCGACTCGAGAACACTGAGAAACCTGAATGATGTTTGTTTGCATACAAACTTTGGTTTCATGGGCATCCCACACAAAGTTCATAGCCATTGCGGTGAGCCTTCACAGTAAGCTGCCATGTTTTGAACCTTTTGAACCCATTATTATTGAAAGCTCGACCGTCAAGTGATCCAAGACCACTTCATGAATGATATTTCTTGGCTACTCAGTTGCAGTATTTGTCCAATCGGCAGACCTCCAAATCCGATTCGTTGAGATGTGATAACGGGGCCAAACAGCAAGACTACACCTGATGGGGTTCAACTTAAGGTGGAAAAAGGGCCTCATATTACTAGCCTGGATGCCGAAATTGGTTTGAGGTCAAAACACGAATAGATGCACAGGCCAGCTTCACCAAAATCCGTTCCAGATGTTGAACAAAAGAGGTTAGCCACGAGGGTGTGTATCAAAATAGGGAAACCTCGGAGACCTCCCAAAGACCGGAAGAGAGAAGATAGCTACCAAAACGCATTGGTCGGGGGTCTCCCTTTTCCGATGTCACAAAGCATCCCCCAAACACCTGTTTCGGGTATTGGCCTCAAAGCACCAAGGAATCGAGCATTTCAAGTGACTCTTCAGACGAAGTTGATCTCAGATGAGGGAGCCAAAGGAGCCGAAGGCAAAGGGCGCAACCTAGTAACGATTCCCTTGTTACTAGTAGCTTCTTGTAATGTCATGAAGAAAATCATTTGCCTTGACATCTTCAATGTTATGCTGCTATGCTTGGGTGGTTGCAGCTTGGACTGGCAAAGTGATGCAAGGAAATTGAAGGAATCAGGAATCAGTGAAAGGATTTAAAGTTACGTGGCTTTTGGTGTTGCTTTTTCGACACAGTTGCTTGGCAGGTGACATGCGAGCCTGAATCAGGAAAGACTCTGGTCCTGGAGCGGTCGGTCCTCGTCCCGAGAGGGTCATTGCAAGCAGTGCCAATTTTCAAGCACAACAAGTGCTCTTCTGCCACTTGGCAGCCGCTGGCTATTGCCAAATAGGCATAGTCTTGAAATCTGTCTTCAAGCCTCGAACGTGACCGGAGGTGCGAAGGTCCAAAGATGTCGCAGAAGCTGAAGCTTCCTTTCCTTCGTCTTTCTCTAACCAATCATTAATAGAGAATAGAGAATAGAATGGAGCTGTTCGCATCGATCTTCACTCCAAAACTCCATAGACTTCAGCGGACAGCATCCCCCAAAAACAGCGCGTTCGCCGGACGCCGGCTCATTCCCCGTGCGCAGGGGCGAATCGTGTGTTTGAACCCTGGCTGACTCACCGAGGTGCGCCGTGACAGTCCGTTGTGAAAATGTGACACCTGGAAGACATTCAACGAATTGCACACATGCTTTCACTTCGCTTCTACCAATACAGCATGCGGGGATATGCGGGGCCTTTGTCTTCCCCAAAGCAACCTAGCACACGACCTGCGCTACCTGGTACTGTTACACGGCGTGCTGTGGCGGTTAACCACTCTCCCCAGTGGCCACTGCGAAACGCGGTAAATACCATGGGGAGTTGACCCCGTGAGCAATTACAGTACAACTCGGCACAATCCGTGCAATCCCTGCAACAGAAACACAATGGTTTCTCATGGTTTCTCTACATCGTCACTAGCATCCCCCCTCCATCCTGACCGCCTCAGCTACTGTACTTGCAAGTACCGTTCTGCTCCCTTGAGCGGGTTGTTCATCCAACATAGTACTTCAGGCTCCTACTGCTTTTGCATGTCCTCCTTCCGACCTGGAGAGAAACACCATGTCACCATGTTTCCTTGCACACCGATGTCGTCGGGCAGGGCCCGCGGTCAGGTGACTGCCATCGACTGCCTGGAGAAGCACAAGTGAATCCACGCTGATTCCAATGAGATCGGCTTGGACTCCAAGAGCTCTAATTTCCGGTATCGGTACATCCTTCACGGAGTGCACCAGAGTCAACTAAGTTTCAAAAGGCTTTCAACCGGCAGAATCTTTGCAACACGTGTGAAACACGTGCATTTTGGTCCTTGGTGCTATCCTTCAGGGATGATGGCAGTTCTATCAGGCGCAATTTTCGCCTAGCTTAATGATCCACCGCCCGGCTTGTTTGAACTCGAGTCGCAGAGCGGATTTCACCGCTAATGGCCTGACATGTCATGTGTCAGCTGCCTCTCAGGGCATCTATGCACCATCAGCAAAGACTGATCTGTAGGACACCCTGTCGCTTAGTTAGACGAGGATCCCACGCACTTCCTTTGTGAAGTCACAGAATTGTGAACATCTCAGAGGTGTGGCAGCGGTCAAAGATTGTCAAGACTTCCAAACCATTTTTTGAGTCTTGAGTTCTACAAGGTGTTTTCTGTTTCATGCTGCCGCAGTGTGCGTCCAGAGTGTTTGCAAGGTGGGCAAAACATTGCAAAACAGTATCCTTTTACAGTTTTTTTTGTTGTTTCGATCATGGTCAAAGAGCTAATGGGAAGAAAGGATTGATTGGCGCACCCGTACTAGTGGGCTGGAATAGCACAGGTATCTTCCTAACTGAGTCATCGAGTCATCGAGGCAAGTGTCAGCAGGTGTCGAATCTGGGGGCGCCCTTCAAACGACTGGGTCAGTCACTGGCACTGAAGGAGAGAGGAAAGGCAACTACTACTAGGAGCAAAGAAGCTACTAGGAACAAGTGCATCGCTTCTAGTAACAAGTGCCTTACTAGTAGTAACAAGGACGCCTGACCGAACGCTGGACTGCCGCTCTTGCAAGAGGGTCCAAAGGCTCGCGTCACCGCGACGGTTGCCGCGCTGCCGAGCGGTTCCAGGCCCGTTCGAATCCGATGTGAGGCACACAACGCCAGTTGCGAGCTGTATTCCTGCATATGGCTGGGAGCTAAAGGAACCAGCCGGGCCAAGCAGATGACCCTGGCCTGAACCAGCCAAGGGTGCATTGTTAATCATATTTCTGGGACTTAAAGGTAGCGATTGGAGCGAGCCAAGCTCATCGTGGCCGACCTGCCAGGAGCCATGTCCACGTCGCCCATGGAGCTTGATGTGGTTTGGGTCTCATATGGTCTTCCAAGTTGTTACAGTTCTTTGATGTTCTTTGCATATGAAGGATCAACTCGAAAAGCCATCCACAAACCTTGAAAACTGAGTGCACTTGTTTGGCCATGTTTGACAAATCATGCCGCCCCCAAAACAACTTTTGAAACTGCCAGTTTGGGTTCAGAGAATCGGATTCATTGCCTTGGACAACATTTTTTCTGCGCATGTTTGGATCTTGACTGATCACAAGAATGGTGGCCCATGTGAAGCCCAGACTTGCACGTATGTTTTACCAACAGCAAAGCATTGGATGATGTTGATGTTGCAAAAAGTAGGTCCACGAAGAGGTTACTTTGGTTTTGCAAGCAGCTGTGCAAGGGAATGCCCATAGTATTGTGGCCCCTTTTCAAGATTTCAATATTAAAGTATTTAGCTCACCTTCACCCGTGTGTTGTTTTCCCAAAACGCTTCATCAGAAGCATGTTCCGTGCTCAGGACCTGGGTCCGATGCCCAAGGAAGGAGAACGCTTCCTGCTGCAAGGCCAGACGCAAGAAAAGGGAACTGGAACCTTCTTGTTACATCTTGTTACTAGTAATGTTAACATCTCATTAATAAAGGTGCCCCCCTATGATCCCCTATGCAATCTTTTTATTTTTGCTTATTTTTGTTTTTCGGGGTAGTCAAAATCCCGAACCGTAATGTAAAGAAACATTCAGAGGGCATTTGGCGGAGGGGATAGTACTAGTAGTAGTAGTCCTAGTGTACCATTAGTAGTAGTAGTAGTAGTAGTAGTAGTAGTAGTAGTCGTAGTCGTAGTCGTAGTAGTAGTAGTAGTCGTAGTCGTAGTGGTAGTGGTAGTGGTACGTAGTCGTAGTTGTAGTAGTCGTAGTGGTAGTGGTAGTGGTAGTGGTAGTAGTAGAAAGAAGAAAGCGAAGAAGAGGAAGAGAGACTGGAAGAGGGAGAGAGACCTTAGCAGGGCTGATTATTGTAGACTGGAAGAGAGACCAGCAGGGCTGCAGTGCAGGGGGGTTGATTATTGTAGGTTTGTTTGTAATTGCAGGGGGTGGGAGTCTAAAGGGGTACCCTTTGCACATATTGTTTGCATTTCTTTGACAGGGCTTTAATATGGGAATCTAACGTTTTTGGCTAGCCAAAGTTTTTGGAAATCTGATTGTCAAAGATAAAAAAACACACAAATTAAAAAAAGAATAGTAATAACAAACAAAGAAGAAGGATTCCTGAAAGCATTCTGTTGGCACAATTAAAACTAGTATTGCAAAATCCTGGCAGGCCACAACGCGCATTATTATTGTAACTATTCAAGATTGATTCAACAAAAATATGTCTCCATTTTGGGGTCTGGATGTTGGCGTAATTAAAAGTAGTATTGCAAAATCCTCGCAGACCAAAAAGCTAATTACTATTGACGCATAGTTTACAGATGACATGTCAACATTAGCAAGAATGCTACTAGTAGTATGGCCAGGAGCTACTATTCGCGTCCTTGCTCCTAGAAGCGATGGCCTTTGTCACTAGTAGCTTCTTGTTACTAGTAGCAAGAATGCTACTAGTAGTAATGCCCTGTGTTACGAGTTCCGATGCCCTTGCTTCTAGTAGTTTGCTGACATATATGTAAAGTGTTTTTTGTTCTACCGAGGGGGATCTCCATGGCAACAAAAACCAACAGTTCCTTGAAATCAGAAAGAATGGGCTTTGTCCCAACAGTTGCTGTAGGAGCAAAGCGTTTTCGACGAGTTCACTTAGTATTTTCAAATTGGAGATTTGGAGTTGTAAACTATATAGCCGAGTGCAATATTGAGGTGGACAAATTTCGCACTCAATGTAACGAATTGTTTTAAATGATTTAACAACTGCTTTACTTCGCGGAACCGGCGATTGCGGAAAGTGCAATGAGTCCTTCAAGGTAAGTTGAAAGCGTTTCCGTGTGACAGACACCTCTACTTCTGCCAGGGTGCCAGATACGAGCTGCTTTGCCTTAATCAAAAACAACTTTCAATCATCGTGCAACATGTGCACAACCGCGTTCAACAGATTGACTTGGGCTGGGCCGCCTTTGCATTCATTCATTCAGAAAATAAGTACAGACCATCGCTTCGATGTTCAAACTTTAAACCTGTAAGATCCACCATGGGGTTACTTGGTTGCACTTGTGGAAAACAGGCAACCCTAAGTGATCCCTTTTTGGTAAGCAGAGTGGCAATTGGGGATGAAACTAACATAAACTAACGTTGGGTCATTGGTTCTCATCTCGCGGTTTCTTTGCAAGATGCAATTTGGATGCCACAGCAACCAGACGCATTACCACGGGCACATGCAGGCTGGTGCCGCCCCCCCTGCACACAAACACACTTCGCAGGCCTTCGTGGGCTATTGGAATGCCAAGAGCTTTGTGATGTGGTCTTGGTGTCCCGAGGCGCTTGGGCCAGGGTGGCGGAGGCAAGGGCGCGATCAGCTTGATCAGCTTGTTGCGTCCACACCAACAATTGTCCACGAATGGGTCGATACCGGGCAGTGCCCTGATGGAATCTCATGTAGTTATATGGTATACTTGAAAATCCATCAGTGAAGGTTGGTTTTGGTGCATTGTACCCTCAGGCAGTGAGCTTTTGTTGTGTTTCTTTGTCAAATCACTAAAGTAGACAGGTTTACATATTTCTGAAAAAGGAACTGCATTACTTCGCACATCATTGCAGGTGGCGCTGCCTTCCCTGCACACCGAGCAGCCTGAAGCTTTGATGGTGATTGTTTTCAAAGTTTAAGTCTAAATTGTCATTTCCAATCACAGATTGGTGGTCTTGCAGCGTTTCCTTTAGTAAACTAGCATCTGAAGTTAGCTTCATTGATCACCACTTTACAGAAAAGTATCCCAAAACTCGTTTATTGTCAAGAAATCTCGGGAGTACCTCCTTTCGAAATTGTGAGTCACCACCACCTACACACCACGAGGGTGCACATCAAAACCAGTTTCCTGTGCCCTAACGTGCGTGGCCCAAACAAACCGGTGGACACGCAGAAACTCCTGCTATGCCCCTAGTAGCGTCCTTGCTCCCAGTAGCGATGCCCTTTGCTCCTAGTAGCTTCTTGTTACTAGTAGTAAGGCCAGGAGCCCCTAGTAGCGTCCGATCGCTCCTAGTAGCGTCCTTGCTATGCCAAGCAAACAGCTGGAACGCGTCAAAGCGCCACATTCGCCACATCGCCATGCGACGAGTGCCACTCAGGGCTCACGCATGCTCACGCGCGTTGTCGTGTGTTGGCTCACACTGTGTGTTGGTTCAAGGCTCCTGCTTTCTCAAGACGTCAATCTCCGCCAGCAGAGATTGCTGCTTTGTGTCATAGCTTGTTTGATAATGTTGGGCCGATAGAACACACAGGGCCCAATACGAAGCAGAAGATAGTTCTAGCATAACTGAACCCTATGTATTACACTCAATCGTGTGCGAATCATGTGTTATATATATGTATATTTACACGATATGGCTTTCAACCGCCAAGACTGTGGATATCCAGGTCTTGGCGGCCAGCAGCCCCCAGATGCGAGCCCGAGTGGCGCAGCCAACAGAGCAGGTACAGCTACAAGAGTGGTAGTGAGGATGGCATATATATTGGGTGTGCATTGACTAGGGAGACCCCGAGACCCCTTTAGTAACTGAAGTAAAAGGAAGAATCGTCCATAAACCATTAGTTGGGGGTCTCCCTATTCCAATTCAATTCACACCCCAATCCTGACTTGTATGTGCATTAAACTCATTTCATTGCTTCCGGAGGTTGATGGACTCCCGGCAATACAGCTGGAGGTGGAGCATTCGGAGGCGGAGGATCACATTCGAAGACTATATAGAGTATAATGTTGGCCTTTCTAGGAACAATAAGCTACTAGGAACAAGTGCATCGCTTCTAGTAACAAGTGCCTTACTAGTAGTAACAAGAAGCTACTAAGAACAAGAAGCTACTAGGAACAAGTGCATCGCTTCTAGTAACAAGTGCCTTACTAGTAGTAACAAGAAGCTATTAGTAACAATAGTCTCCAGTGGTTTAGAGGGTTTGAATTTGATTCTTTTCAAGCACTGTGCTTTCGCACTGGCAGCCCTAAGAAGTGAATAACAATGCCAGATGTGAAGTGCCTTGACTTGTGATCAGACTGAAGTCTGCGCTTGCACAGGCAGTCAAAGCCCTAATTGACTGTGCCAAGATCTCAGGCTGTAAAGTTGAGCACATTTCCTTTCACATGCAAAACATATAAGTACCGTCTTTAGCATATTGATGCAAATGTTTGAAGGTTCCGACTGGTTCGAGGTATATGGCACAGAGGGTGAGGACTGTGATGGGCATCTTGACCGCAACTGCCTGTGCTTGTTGTGAGCAAAGCATACTTATCAAATGTTCTTCAAGTCTCACCCCGTTTGAAGATGTTTGTTGTGTTTTGACACATTTAGATGCCAAGTCAATCATGGATCATCATTGCTCGGACAAACTTCAATGAATTGCTAACAACACAAGACGGTCAGTCAACTTACAATGTGCGTGCTTGGTTCACTCAGGTGCTACAGTCCCAGCTCAGAGGTGGGTGATTAATTGTCGTCTTTGCATCAGAACATGGGAGCGAAGGTAATCATTTCCACTATCCTTTACACCGTGGGTCCAAAGTGGAATTGAGTATCATGAGGTATCATCCAATGGCAACTCCCAAAGCTAAAGTTTGGCCCAGTATCTTGGGCTCAAAAGCGTTGCCTGGTTAGAAAACACCTCAAAAGTATTGAGTCTCAGACAGACACTTTGTCTTGCTACACTTTTCTACACTCAGCTGGCTGATAGGCTAGGCTGAAGTTAGTTTATGTGAACGAAGTGAGTCTTTATGGGGTGTGGAAACTGCAGACGGGCAACCGACAAAGGATGACAAAAGGCACTGTAGTGAAAGCGGGCCTGTTTCCCTTTAGATGATTTTGCATGTGAGCGTGTGTTGGAAATCCTCCCAAAAATATCCGGAGACCGAATGAGGTAGGTCACAGAATGTGACTTGGAAGGCAAAAGGCTTTAGTTCCTAGTAGCGTTCTCTTGTTCTCTTGTTCCTAGTAGTAAGGCCAGGAGCCCCTAGTAGCAATGCCCTTGCTCCCAGTAGCCAACATTGCTCCAAAGACTTGGCGCCACAGAATCGATGCGCAGGCGGCCAATCGAGATGTGCTGACACTGGCCCGCCAGTTTGAGTTGTCTGCACTCGAAGATCGTGTGGGCCGAGCTGAGTTTGAGACTCCTTCGTTCCGATCAACGACATCAAACAAACCAATTTTTTTGTTTCATGAGATTGACCAACAGGTCTTGACTCATTTTGTCTTGACTCAATCCTTGCAAGTGTTGCTTTGCCCCTTGGGAACAGATTTTGATGGACCAAAGGATTGGGACATATTGGGACTATAAATTTGCAATGTCGTTCAGACACAGACGCACGCAGCCGAAGCATTGCCGTGACAGCCAGGCATCACGATGGCTTGCCCGTAACTTAACGACGGCCAATTTGCTCGATCGCCTTGGCACCTGCGAGAGGCGCCGCCAAACGGATCAAACCCGGCGTAGGCTGTTTCACCCTCTTCATTTAGAGGGGTGGTGCATGAAACGGCACGACGTCTTTGGAGGTACACTCGCAGACGTACTTTTTGGCGCCATGTTGCGTGGCAAACAGGTTCGGCTTGAAGGATGTCAAGGAGAAGATCCTTGAGCAGCTGACTGCCAACACAGACGTTGGCGTCTCAAAAATCCTCTCGCAACTCACGAGCTGACCGACCGCCTTCTTCAGCAGTCACCCCTCCTGGCATCGCTACTAGGAGCAAGGACGCTACTAGGGGCTCCTGGCCTTACTACTAGGAACAAGAAGCTACTAGGGGCTCCTGGCCTCGCTACTAGGAGCAAGGACGCTACTAGGGGCTCATTGCCTTTAACAACCAAGGTTAGTCTTGAAATGTCTTGAATACCAAACACTGCAGCGCAGATGGTCAACCTGGGCGTGATGTAGGTCAACACTCCATTGCAATGTGCAAGCAAGCAGGTCTTGTATGAGTTGGTCAGCAACCCATCTGCCTGAGCCTTAAGTTTTCCTCCGATGACACTTGATCCAGCTAATTAACACTGTTTGGGGCCCTTCAACTGAGAAACTGTGGCAAGATGATTGAATGATGATTGAAGCAAGCAATGTCGGTTCCTGCAGCATACATTATCCTAGAATAGATAGTCTTCTTGAAGCTCAGGTGCAATCTGTGCCTGGAGTGTTGCAAGACCTACTACTGCAGGGTCCTTGGAGCTTTCTGATCGATGTTGAACTGAAACAACAAGAACCACTCGCGGCTTCTCAACTTCGAGTATGTAAAGCATCCTAAAGCTTCTTTTGGTCGTTGCGGCCTTCGCTGTTTGGGGAACAGGCGAGTACTTCAGCTTCTAGGTTGTGGACCTTCAGTCGGTCGGGATCTCGATCCAGAAAGGGCGTTTTGAATGCCAAGCGTCTCAGAATGGATCTTCACCGTGCGCCCAGGTGGTACCGCCACCAAAGATCAGCCACCAAAAGCAGAGGCGATTCTCCGACTAGTCTTCCACAAGCCTCAAAAGAGACTGTCGATCGTGCTCGGGCATGTTGGCAGACAGGTAGAAGCATGATGATGTGGCTTTGAGAGGGGCTGTAATAGCTGCTGCTAGAGTGATTGACTTCATGAGTTCAGGCTTCTTGTTCGACTGTGATATAATTTCCTGACAGAAGGAATGGTGACAGGGCATTCATTCTAGCTGTGCCTTGTCCTTTTCAGATTATTAATATGATATCAAATTCTGCAACCTTGGTCACTGTGGTGCTCGTTGTTTGCACCCATCCAAGCACCTCAAACCAGCAAGTGTTCAATCGGAGCACATCTCGGCTGGATTGCCAGCAGCTATGAGTCTTTTCACCCGTAATTCGTGCACCCATGCAGCAGACATGCCAGCCGCCAGCAAGCCTCAGCCAAGCAAGCCTTCAAGCAAATTCTGTTTTGTACAGCTGGTATGACACAGGATTGTTGTTCATCCATTTCCAATATGTTGATATTTCATGATATTTCTGGTCAATTTCTGCTGCTGCCAAGTGAGTGTTTCACTTTAACGTCGCCGTTTCAGTGCGTGGCAGGTTACGGTGTAATTGCCCATGCAGCGTCTGTGCTTGAGGGGAATCTGCGGCCGCTGTGGATCATCGAAAATTGAGATGTGGGAGCCTTCTCTTTTGTTAGTTGCATGCGTCACATATGCGAATTTATTCCATTTCTTTTGTCCTCGTTACTAAGTAAGATGCATTGACACGGAAACAGATCAACGATTCGAAAAACGCTTGAAAGATTGATTCATATATACTATATACTGCCATTGACTGCTGCTTTTGGCATCAGCCTTAGCTATTTGGGGCCAGCTTTAATGGGCCGCCCTTCCTGTTGTTCCATGCGCTTGAAACTCAGTACTGTTCGATCCTGGAATTGAGCCTAAAGTTGCACATTTTGTCGCGTGCTCTTCCCACTGCGGGACGAGCAATTGATAGTTGGGATTTAAATCTTGTTTCCTTTGGTTCTGAAGATTGGAAGCGTGTGCCACTTCCATGCATGTGCACAGATCACCTTTCTGTGGATGAAAAAGCACATGCGGGCTCATTTGTCCAGGTAAGGCCTGAGACAGAAGCCTGTGCCTCGGGACCCAACCGTCCTTTTTGGTGACTTTACATCAACAGGTGGCACCAACTCTAACTCCAACACAGCGCACAGCGGTTTCTTGGATGACTGTCACTTTTCACTGGCACATTTAGTTCTGACAAGGACTCGGACGACACATTTTGTTTGTTGGAAAGGACGACACAGGAGAGCACTGCAGACATGTCTTTGTGCGTTTGTTCTGACAAGTCATCCACCCAGCCGCACCCAGCAAGGTCTTGAAGCCAACATGGGGCAGGTGCTCAATCTTTGACCTGCACTGTTTCATTGCAGCAGCCCTTGGTAGGTATTGTATTTTGTCCCTCTTCATGGTTACCCTGTGCTGTGTTTATAGTCTAAGAGTAACTTGCTCTTCAGATCCATAGCAAATTGTACCCTTCAGTCCCTACCTTCTACCTTGCTTTTGTCGAAGGCTTGTTCTGATTTTAAAGAATCAAAAGAGCTGCAGTCTCACTGACTGCACCACTCTAAGAGTACAGGTTTTAGGAGTTCAGGAGCTAATGTACAAGTCAAGAGCCAACAGACAGATCCACTGACCATCTGAGCCAACAGAATTCGACAGCCGCCCGCACAAATTCTTTTTTGGCAGTGCCGAAACAATGGAATGCCATTAGGGACACATATATATATATATTATATATTGTATTATATTTATAATATATACTTCCACCCATTTAATCGCTGAGCGTACGCACTCATACGAGATTGTGTATGAAGACAGAAAGCGACGGGGTATACAGTATAAGTATATGTATATATATATAATTAAGTTAAATTAACTACTAGCTTCTTTTTACTACTAGTAAGGCACTTGTTCCTAGTAGCGATGCACTTGTTACTACTAGTAATGTAATAAGTATTCCAAGGTTTCAAGACGACAAGTTCTGGTATCTTGGCTGTATGCTCCGGATGTGCTGCTATCAGGTTGGTAGCCGGGCAAAGCTTGATGAAATATACTTTGTACAGAAAGCTCGGAGCCTTAAAGTCGAAGTAACAAGAAGCTAGTAGTAACAAGTGCCACGCTAGTAGTAACAGGTGCCTTACTAGTAGTAACAAGAAGCGTACAGTAGACGTCTTATTCAGATGTCGTTTTCGGAGGTCCGTAAGGATGGACATGGATGGAACTGCTTCTGTTACTACTAGTAAGGCACTTGTTACTACTAGCGTGGCACTTGTTCCTAATAGCTTTTTGTTACTACTAGTAAGGCACTTGTTACTAGTAGCGATGCACTTGTTACTACTGTTTGTTTCATTTATTTGTTTTCCGTTCTTTGCGCAGCTCAGCAAACGAAGAAGCATCGTCACGCTTGATAACATGATTTGCAATTTCGATAGCGACTGCTTTGTGTTTTGAGGTCAAGTTGGGTCAAGGCAGTTTCGGCAGTGTGTGGCGTGCCAAACATCGCAAGTCAGGTGACACTGCTACTGCCTCAGAGCTGAGAAGTGAGAAGTGACGTACTTCTGAGAAAAAGCATGCTTAAGAAACAGCCGGATCATGCTTAATTGCTGTGAAGTACTGTAACTATGCATGAACTAGCTGACTAGCTATGCTGGCCAACTTGTTGATAGCATTCACTTGTGTCCTTTGAGTTGGGACTCTTTGAGACAGTTGTTTTGACTGCCAGCATGTTGGTGCACTCCAAAAGGGTGAGGTTTTCTGGAATCGAAGGTTGCCGTCAAGCAGATGGACAAAGCTAGCATGCCGAAACGTGGTGCCACTCGGCAGAAACATACATACTCTATCTTACTCTGGGCTCAGTACGTTTTCTCATCCCTTCACGACCCTAGAGCCAACAATTGATATACACATATACTCAATCAAGCCTTGTGTTGCCTTGTCTTTTGATACTGTAGTGAGAAGTAGTTTAGTGAAAGTTTAGTGCAAGATCTAAGATGATTTTAGGCCTAGACCTTTCAAGAGCTCCAGTTCATTTGGCACAATGTGCCCATACCGCATCCCGCATTTTGCCGAGAATCTTGTTCCAAATGCGCTGGTCCCCCCTTTGATTGAGGTGACTCGTCATGACATTGAGAGAGAGGTGTCTATGATGCAGGTGCATGAATTCGTTCGAGTTGGCTGTCGGGCATTGTTCGAAGCGAGCATGCATGGCGAGGCCATTAGGCCATTGGGATCCTTGAGGATCATTCGGCATTTCTCCCATGCGGAACTCTTTCGTGTTGGTTAACCCCATGCGGATTGATTGAAAGCAACATGTGATGACAGGGCTTGATTGAATCAAAGGTGGTTTACCGCCGTTAAGAGCTCTTGCAGCTGGCCATATATTTCTCGAAGCACTTTGGTCGCGGATTGAGTTCTTTACTGTGCTTGCGAACGTGTTCTAACTATATATTTGTTTATCGAAGAGCAGAGTCAGTCTCACATGCCTTGCGTTGTGTCGTTGAGCAGCATTGCTTTGTGTTGTCACACAGGCCTGCGACCATGACAATATCACCAAGCTTTTCAATACATTTGAGGCTCAGCGTTTTTCCAGAGCTTTCCAGCATCACTCAGTTCTGATTCGACGTAGCGCACTTCAGGATTCCAACAGCATCTATTTGGCACTGGAATACTGTGATGGCGGAGATTTTGGCGATAAGGTGCTGGACACTGGACACTTTGAGACATATAGGTTAATAGAAACAATAAGCTACTAGGAACAAGTGCATCGCTTCTAGTAACAAGTGCCTTACTAGTAGTAACAAGAAGCTATTAGTAACAAGTGCATCGCTACTAGTAACAAGTGCCTTACTAGTAGTAACAAGAAGCTAGCAGTAACAAGTGCATGGATACTAGTAACAAGCGCCTTACTAGTAGTAACAAGAACCTATTAGTAACAAGTGCATCGCTACTAGTAACAAGTGCCATACTAGTAGTAACAAGAAGCTATTAGTAACAAGTGCATCGCTACTAGTAACAAGTTCCTTACTAGTAGTAACAATAAGCTATTAGTAACAAGTGCATCGGTACTAGTAACGAGTGCCTTACTAGTAGTAACAAGAAGCTATTAGTAACAAGTGCATCG